CGTCGGTCTAAGCGCCACAACGTTCAGCGTATCGTATGAAAAACGTCTCGGGAACGCTCTGGAAAGTGACCTCAGAAATTCGCTGGTAAATCGAAGTTTTCAAGCAACTCAACTTCTGACAGCAAGAAACAATTTCAAAATGGTATCTGAATACTTTTTGAAATTTTGACAGTGAAAAACGAAAAGGCAAACTTTTTGTTGCATGCACAAGTGCGGGAATCCAGGGTGGCGCGGCCCGTCGTGAAAGGTTGTGAAATAGCGCGCGCCAAAGAGGAGCGGTACATTCCGAGGGAATATAAAAACAGCGCGCCAACGTGGAGCGGCGTGTTGCGAAAAGGTTAATCCTATTCCTTGCCTCTTGCCCCCAACATTCTATGACCATAATGAGTATTCCATAAGTTGTATGAATATTCGCCTTTGTGATAAACCAATCCCTCATTAATTTTATTTTGTTAGTCTTATTAAATCTTACCATAACAATGGCTATATTCCCCCAGGGAATGGAGACTGACCTTCCATATAGGAGACAGAGCTGTCATTTACATCTTTATAGCATCATCGTATACACCATGGTGAGTGACTGTGACTTTAGTAAAGTGATGGTGTTCTTAATTCTTTCGAGATTTCCACTATGTTGCTTGGTCAGTGAGCATAGGTTTACAAATTGTGCCAGTGCAAGCAGCAATGTCTTTTAACACTTTGCCATCATATTTGGGGGAAAATCCCAAAAACTCGGTGGTAAACATTGCCAATCGACGAGATGAGGCGGCAAAGTGTTAAGTGATTGGTCACTGGAGCTTAAGCAATACATGTCTACCCTAGCACGAAAAAATTGTGCTACATTTTTACCTTGGTTCAATTCAGCAGTTATACAATGATATACTATTTACTGTTGTGCACATCTCTGTAAAATGAAAAAATGTCTTCCAGCGAAGACAGATAATGATGTTTCGATTGGTGTGTAAAAGCACCTGCATTTATAAAAATAAAAATAAAATAATGATGTCTGTTCTTTTTTTTCCATCTGTTTGTGTCTCCTCAACTCAGGCTTCTCCTGAAAGAATATCACTCCTGGGCGGAGGAGGCGCTGTGTGTTGTATGGATCATGGCCATCCTAGGGGTCACCTATGCTTATGTCTACCATGAAAAGTAAGATAGATTTTTATATATGTCCCCCTTTTGGTTGTTTCTTTTTTTTTTATTTGCTACTGATTGTCACGCTGAAATTTCACTCCTTCTTTTTAAAAAAATTATTTTCAGCTCTCTGTAATACTTGGTGATTGAAGGAGACAAACTATCATTTTTTGTTTCAATACCGTTGTCAGAATGGCATTTTTGTCTAAATCCGTGTGCAAGTAGAAAGGAAAAACTCATTGCTAGATATATATGTTGCTTTGATTGAATACTTCACTTAATATGCCTATGACCGTGCTTGGAAAATGTTATTTCAATATAAAAACGGCAACCCTGATAAATTATTTTCTTTTCTCCTAAGTACATTTCAGTTATAACAAGTTTAGACCAAAAAAAGTGTGCTCAATATAGTACTTATCATTTTTTGCATTTAAAGATACCTCCTGTAGCAAGGTCACCAAGCAAAGGTCCAGATGCTGTTCATCTTTATCTCAAATTGTTTGCTGTACAACACAAATTTTGTGTTGTAAATGATGATTGTTTCTTTTCAAGTAAATTATATTACAGCAATCAACATGAAAACAGTTCCTATTAGAGTTTTTGATGTAATGGTTAGGCTCTGATCAATGCCCACCAGAAATGTTTGTTCAATTCCCACATGGTGAATATATTTAATCAAGTATATTCATCTCTCAGCTCTGATCTATCAAAGAACAGGGTCAAAGCATAAACTCAAATCAGGTACTGTTGTCTTAATCATTTACCAGTTAGGGGCACCATCATCGGCAGCCCTTAAAAGGTGCTTCCCAAGGCTAATAAATCTAGACCTTGAGGTAAATTTGTTTGTTATGCTAGACACAGGGCTGCATCAGGCTTTTAGGATAAACCAGGAGCCCAGCTTTCTTCGAGTCTTTATTTGAACAAAATCATGCTCAGATTTTCAATCTATTACTTTAGAATCAGACAAAGATAGATTGAAGGGTCATTTGGCAATATTCAAGGATACCATATTTTTAATTCACTGGAGCAGATGACTCACTTCATTTGATTTTACGAAATAGTTGAATAACAAGTTCAGAAATAAATAATTTGCTCATACTTTCCTTCTGTGGAAACAGGCTTATTAGAACCATCTTTTTTTTTCTAAGTCATTTGTATAGAAATATTTTTTTGCCAGGGGTATGTGCTCCTACTGTCAGCACTGATTTTCAGCTGAGCTCATTACCCTGGACAGCAGCCTAATGTCTCTGTGTTAATGGACACATGGTCTAGATCTTGGGCACTCGTGACATATGCCGGACACCGGGTCTTCAATTGTGTCACTTTTCTCACTTTTCGTATTCCCTAATTCCTCCCATCTTACTCATAATTTTGAATAACCGTCAAATCTAAGTAAAAAATAGTGAAATAATTTGCCTTTTTAAAGTCATTTCGATGTTTACATTTTATGAGAGCATGCGGCCGCCCGCAAGCCTAGATCTGTGTTTATCGATCGCTTGCAAGCCAAGCAGTAAAGTAATCCTAGCAAATTTGGTACCGATATGTGCATCTTTTATACAAATCTACGAAGTGCTAGTGGCTAAAACTCAATACAAAAGAATTAGATCCAGTTTATTAGTATGACGTACATGTAACATATATTGGCAACCAGAATCGGCAACTTCCGTGATGTACATGTTACGACATAGTGCTAAAAACTACGCATTTTCATGACTTTTCGGGTATGTCATAAAGCAGCGATGGGGTTAAAAATAGTGTATGATATTTTATTGGAATTTTTCCCTTGTTCTGGGATTTCAAGGCATTCATCAGGACAGCTCCCTTGGAGAGTAAAGGGTAAATGTAGGGGTAAACATTTACAACCACATAGAAGAATGTTCCCTTCAAAGTTCATGTCTTGTGGACATTTGTGGCTCTGACTTCAGGCAAAGTATATATGTGTCTACTTCCAATCTTCCCCCAGGTACAAGTGGCTGGAGATTGTCTTTTACTTGGCCATCGGTTTCTGTCCCGCAATCTGTATTGTAGACATGGTAAGTCTGTTGGTTTGTTTTCCTCTAATTGTGATACGAAGTATGGTGGTTGACAGGTGTGGACTTTTTCTTCTTTTTGGGGGGGGTTGTCGCTTTTCTATAGGTATGATATTTTTTTACATTCTTGCTAAGTTTCTATCCTGCTTTCTGTTTGATATGCCAGCAAATGGTTTATGCACTGAGAACCACAAATTTTTTCAAGCTCCTTCCAACATAGTAAAGTGAAATGTTTCGCCAAGCAAAGGGATTATCACTCTAATTTCAAGTGCTGCCTTAGAATTAACAGGAAAACGGCCATATTTAAATAACTATGTAATATATTTCAATTTTGTTTAAAATTTTTAGTAGTCCAAAGAATTGTCAATTTGGGTGCACCTATAAAATGTTATTATTATAAAGGGTGACGTTATTTACCCCCCTCCCTTACCTTATTTAGGCCACACTGTGGCCCAGATAAGCTAAACCCCCCTCCCTTATCTTATTTAGGCCACATCATATGGTAGATTTTTTTAACTAACCATGGATTCGGAAGGTCGAGATTTTACTGATCTTTTTATTTAGTGCGGGGAATTATTTCATAATAGAGGATGATACTAAACGATAAGTTGACCAAAGATTAGAGTTGTGTGTCTGTGTGTGTGTGTGTGTGTGTGTGTGTATGTGTTTGTTTTGTGTGTGGTTGTGGTGAGAGAGAGATCTAGAGAGAGAGAGTAAATGTAATAGTGTGTTTGTATGTGTGTATATGTGTAATGTGTGAATGTTATTGTGTGCATGAGTGTCTATCTCAGTTGTACGGTCCAAATGTACATTATTTTGTTGAGAATTTTACATAGAACTCAACTACAAAACACCTTTATACAAAGTCACAGAAATATTCTTTTTGTGCTTATTGAGGTGCAGTACAGGGTGATTTTACCTGCAAGGATAATTGGACAAAATGGGCAATATCTTTATAATGCTAATACTAATGGTCATATTTAGACAAATCCTATATCATTCTCTTTTTTTCTTAACAGCTCATGGTTATTAACTCATTCGCTACGTATTATTTTCGGCTTGTGGACGAATTTTTTGGGGGGAGAGCGAAAGAGATGATGACTAGTGGGCAGTTAAAAGGTCTTTGGGGCCACAAATTCAAATAAATATCAACGTATTATATACCAATATGTTCAGTATGGTTTGTAGAATACATCTGTAATGTTTATTTATGTATTTTTCAACTTTGGTTCCTGTAAGAGATGATTATGCAACACAGTTTTGATTGGATGCGGATAAAATTTGAAAATAAAAAAAATTTAATCTTTGATGAAACTCAAAAAATATGTTTGCACCTAGTCAAATGATACATCAAAATAACCATAAATGAATATAGAACTGGAAAATATTGAAAAGTTTGCTGTTATTTACCTACATTCCATAATATTTGTACATTTCGAACATAACATCCGATATTGAAAAAAAAAAAAAAATTTTAGAAGCTTGAAAAACGATCACAAACAGAAAAAAAACCCGCTCGTATCTTATATGGAATTATTCAGAATTGCATGTGGAATAAACCTATACATGTCTTGAGTGGCACTTTTTGAGTAATTTCATCAAAACGTAGTGATTTTGGGGACTATTTAGATCTAGATCTAGCACTCAAAAATATTGATTTCTCAATAACAGTGCATTGGCAATATGAGTCCAATCGTATCAATATTATTAAAAAAGAGTCCTACACTTCTTTAGTGGGCAAAATAATGATAGATTTTGTTGTGTAAAATTACAAAAAATGGTGTCCGGGCTATAATTTTGTCATCGCAATAAAACAATCGAATAAACTACGAAATCGCGTTTCAAAACTGAATCTAAATTTCCGATTTTCAGTGGAAATGCTTGACCCGGAAGTCAACATTATATTATGACCTTTTTTTTAACATGGATATGTGGATTGGAAGAGAATCTAAGCTATAATTGAAGATCGGTTCTCGCGCTGCCAGGGGCGGCTTAGCGTACTGACGGCACTTTAGCCGCGCCGCCCCCCACGGCTCGGCGTAGCGAATGAGTTAAAGAGTAAGCAAACTAGATCAAGGTAGTAATTTCGGATTCCTAATATTATGGGCATTCTTTAACATTTTTAACTTGTTTTTAGCGCTTTTCTCAACGTAAAACGGATTCCGTTAAAAAACAACAAAATGACCTTATCTTTCTTTTTCAAAGTATTGTGCATACATATGTGTGAAACTATTACATTCTATGCTTTCAAGTACATGAAAAAAGCTGATAAAGTCAAGCAAAATGTTCTTCAGAGACATAGATCGGGGGGCTCTCGTGGCGTAGAGGTTAAGGTGTTGGCCTCTCATTCAAAAGGTCCCGCGTTCGAATCCGGGTAGCGACCGAAAAATTTTCTTCTCTAAATTGGTCTCCTTTCACCTCATTTCCTGCTCTCTAGCAATGTTCTGCTGTCTGCTTTCATCTCCTCTTTCTGCCTCCACCCCCTCACCTCCTTTGCCCCTTCCTTTGGGCTCCTGATTCTTTCTGCAGCCTTTCTACTGCTATTCCTTCGCTTCTTCTTACTGCTGTCTTTCAGCCACACCCCTGATCTTCTGGTAGGAAAGATCTACACCTAGCCTTCTCGGACAAGGGCGAAAAATCTCGGAGAGCCCGTGTGCAAGTTGCGCACGTTAAAGATCCCTTGGTGGTCTAAAATCGATAAGAGTAGGCTTCGGCCGCCACCCGGGCAAAATTCAAAATTTCCTACCAACTGAAAATATTAGGTGTGTCCCGCGCGCTCATATGACCTTATGCAGTTACGAGCGCCGTAAAACACTTTACAAAAACAAAAAACAAGAGACATAGATCTAGTAGTAGGCCCACTGGAACATTATATAAACCATGAAAAGATGACCAGAAAATAACAAAATTATCTTATGATCTTCACTTGCACTTGCAATTTTTTTGACAAATTATAGTCTACCTCATTATCTTTTTTTTTCACATTTTTCTTCACTATTCATGACAACTGGCATGTTTTTCAGTTATTATCAAGGAAGTGGATAGGCGGACCACGGGGTCTATCTAGCCCCAAAAGGATAGGTGGACCCCGGGGTCTACCTAACAAAATGCTGTTTTAGGATGTGAACCCCGGAGTCAGCGTAGTGAAATAAGTAGATCTAGGTTTAACTAAGGATCGGTGGACCTCGGGTCAACATAGTGAAATAAGTAGATCTCAGTTTATTTTATAGTAGGACTGGCGGAGCCCGTGGTCAGCGTAGTGAAATTAAGTAGATCTGGGTTTAATAAGGATTGGTGGACCCCGGGGTCAACGTAGTGAAATCAGTAGATCTAGGTTTAATTAAGGATTGGTGGACCCGGGGGTCAACGTAGTGAAATAAGTACATTATAGATCTAAGTTTAATCTTAAGGATTGGTGGACCGTGGAGTCAACGTAGTGAAATAGGTAGGTTTAAGGTGGACCCCAGGGTCTACCTAACGAAATACTAGTTAGGTTTTAAAATAGGTAGACCATTACTACGGTGACCCGGGGTCCACCAATCCTTAATTAAACCTTCTTATTCCTCTACGGCTTTGGTGACTCCGGGGTCCACCAATCCTTTTAAAATTAAACCTACTTATTTCACTACGATGACCCCGGGGTCCACCGATCTTTAAAGAAACCTACTTATTTCACTACGGTGACTCCGGGGTCCACTGATCTTGAAAGAAATCTACTTATTTCACTACGGTGACCCTGGGGTTCACCTGTCCTAAAACCTAGTATTTCGCTAGGTAGACCCTGGGCCCCGGGGTCCACCTTAAACCTGCTTATTTATCACTACGTTGACCCTGGGGTCCACCAATCCTTACTTAAACCAAACCTTATTTTACTACGGTGATTCCGGAGTTCACATCCTAAAACCTAGTATTTCGCTATGCAGACCCCGGAGTCCACCTATCCTCTACAGGACTATACTATTATCAATTTGCAATTTTCATTGATTAGCATATTTTTTTTAAAATATTGAATCAGAGACTCACTGCCAAAAAATTCCACTGCTAATGCTATTCTTATCAAAGAAAAGGCACAATTTGACTTTATGACATGTTAAAAAAAAAAGAGTTTTAAAAATATCCAGAAAATAACATAAAATGATTATATAGATCTAGATCTATACGTGTTTTATTATGTATGTATATACTTAAAAGTAAAAGACTGAGCAGAGGCTTACAATGTAAATTCTGTGCTCTACAAGTAGAGAAAATCTTAAGTTTGGACAAAACAGATTTTAGAAAAAAAAGTTGGATCTACTTGATCTAATAAAAGTAAAAGTGATTGTTATGGTGAGATTTGTTATTATTAACTCTGGAAATACAGATAGTTGCTGAATCTAAAATTAACTAGAACTGTGCAATTCGTTTTATTTCAATTCCAAAGCCCAAAGGCATAGCAATGAGTCAGATCTAGATCTAGCAGTTGTAGGCTCTCTGGCTGCTTCTAGCATAGGCCTGCTACTACTGATTCTAGACAGGGAATCTAGATCTAGCTATCACCTGCACTATTTAAGTAAAATATATGGTAAAATAAAAACAAAACTGTGAATCGCTTTGTCAGTCAGTACATCCCAATTGCCATAGCCGCACGTATTAATAGTTGAATAATTATACCGAAGCAACACGTTATCACAGTGTGCAGGGGAGAGCGGGGTGCCCGGGTCGCTGACCGGTCGATTCGGTGGTTCGGCTTTTGTAGATCTATGCATTTTTTACGGAAAGCCCTATTACTAGATCTATTAGTATTGTGAAAACTTCAACCTCTACAGCTAAGGAGTCAAAAGATGTTGGAAAATAATAATACGTCCTGAAGTTTCATAATTTATACAGAATAACACAGCCAGTAGTTTTTATTTCATCGAGTTATAAAAATGGCCTTGTAACTTGTTTTCAGAAGCAAATTTTAATAGTTCCAGTTCTACGGAATCGATTTTCACGCAAATTCAACCATTTTGATTACCTTTCTTTTCCTTTTAAAAAGATGTAGGCCTGTCGGATGTGGCAGTGCGATTAACACTAAGTTGTTTAGACCCATTAAAACATGAGGCTTTGTGGCCGATCACAAAGATCTACAGGGCTTATCGAGGCCGATTCGCCCTGCCGCGTGCACGTTCACTAAACTGCCTACTAGATAGAATCTACTACCAAAGAATCTCTACACGATCTTTGCTACTACTACTGCTACTAGATATACTTGTACTACTACGAGACAGTACGAGAGATGTACTACTACAGGACAGTACGAGAGAGTGCCACCCAGGCAAAGATAGTGTAACGTTGACTCAGCCTCGTTGTGTACACACTTTTTATACCCCAAATTTGACCCGGAAGTCCATTCGGAGGATTTGACCTTTTCACTTGACCAAAGTGTGCCAAAATGGTAGCCTAGATTTTGCCCCTCCATGAAGGAAAAATCTGGCCCTCATTCAAACCATTGGGATTGAGCAAAATTTTGCGTATCATGCTTTGTTCTTACAATATTCATTATGATATATATAAGTTGTACACTGAGACAAAATTGTACTAAATGAGAAAGGTGCACCATTATGAAAGTGGAACGAACTCAGTTGCCTGAAAAGGGTGTCCCCCGGTAGTTTGAGCATGTGTGGCCTAAATAAGCTAAACCCCCTCCCTTACCTTATTTAGGCCATATGTGGCCTAAATAAGCACTCCCTATTATAAAAGCAAACATTTTCCTAGATCTCATCTAAAATGGCAACAACTACACAAAATTGGTCAAAATAATAATAATATAATAATATATAACATTTATATAGCGCATTTCCAAAAAAGTAGCTCAATGCGCTTTACATTGGAATACCCATTTTTCCAAAACCTTTCTTACTACTTCCTTTCTTCTCAAGCAATATACATTAATGCACACACATACACACACACACACACACACACACACACACACACACACACACACACACACACACACACACACAAAAGAAGAGATTAGAGCAGAAATTTTGTTTTTTTCACTCAAAAGCCATAATTCTTACTAAATCCAAGCAGAACTTGAAAATGTTTAGCATGAGAATGTTTTGAGCAAGTCAAAGGTTTACCATTGGGGCACTTTACTTAACGAGACAGGAGGAGCGACCCTCAGTTTGGCAAATTTTGGGTCAAGCTGTGCAAATTGAGATGTTTGCTGACTTTTTAAGGTCAACCACTTCTTTGTCTAAAAATAGGAAGGAGACAATTGAGAAAATCATTATTCTCAACATAAATTGCCTTTGAAGACATGAGGGTGGGTTAAAATGTAGTCAATTTTCATAATAATTGTTGCTTTCCTCAAATTTTTTAAATTTTTTCTCCTACTCCTTCCTTAGTTTTCACTACTCCTTCCTTAGTTTTCATCCTTTTGACTTGAAACTTTCAGGAAACATAGGTGACAAGGCTGCCATGAATGTAACGGAGAGATGGTTGCGAAAAAATAAAACTTTTCCGTTAGCCAGCGATTACGCAACCAAATTTAGAACAGGTCTATATACATTGGGAAAATTCTCACATTTTTTTTCTTCTACACTTATTCAAAAATACTCTCTGTTACGTTGATAGGGACTGATTGAGGTATACTCTCACCAAACTTGGTCAGTTAATAAGAAAACCCTAGGGATTTGAAATTTATTATTTATATTCAAGATGGCGGCCATTTCCATAGCAACCATTGTAGCTACGCAAAAATAAAAGTATGCATCAAGAGATTTTTCTATGCCTAACTTACATTTGTACTTAGATTTGATCTCAAGCAACAAACATAGAAAATGGACTTCGAGGGTTGCTCCCCCCATTAAAGAGGGGCATATAAATCTACTCAATAAGCAAATGAGAGGCCATTGCCTGTCTGCCGACGGAGAAAAATTGCTGAAGGCATTAAAAAAACTAGTTCATGACGCCAAGAGGCTCAAAATTGGTAATATTGCTGTTGCCTTAGGTCTTTCCTCTAAGTTGGGATACAGAGAAATGTCAGCCAGTTGGGTTCCAAAACAGTTAGACATATGACTGCAAGGTACAGCACATTTATGTTGGTGTTTTTTTGTTGTTGTTTTTTGGGGGGTGGGGGGGGGGTTGCATGGTATAGTTGGAACAATGAAAAATTTTTGGATTACAGTCCTGATCTTGCCCCTTTAGACTTCCATCTGTTTGGATCAATGCAGCAATATCTAGCAGGGAAGAAAATCACTAATGACACAAACCTCTGGGAGCATGTTAAAAGTTGGCTTCGATCACTTTTGACACCAAATTCTACTGGGCTGTCATACCTTTACTCATGCGGCAATGGGAAAAAGGCTTGACTGTTAATGGGGACTACGTTGAGAAAGCAAGGGAATGCTCAGCCAACTAACTATGTGAGTGGTGTATTGATCATGACAAAATTTGTCATTAAATAGTCGTTTTCTCGTAAATTCTAGGGCTGCCCTCATACATGTGCCTTTCTAAAGAGGAGATAGAGGTAAGAGTTTTAAGAGTGATATGATTTTGTATGAATCAAGACTTCTTAATGTTTTTCTGTTTCCTCTGGTGTTGACTTACAGAAGGACTGGTCGGGCCTGTTAGAGCTCAGCGTAGGAGGTCTCAGCTACATGTTCGGTGTCGTCTTCTTTAAGAGCGACGGAGTCATCCCCTTTGCCCATGCCATCTGGCACTGCTTTGTCTTCGTGGGGTCCTTCTGTCACTTTATCGCCATCTGCACACACCTCCTTGGGGCCAAGATCCCGGGCTTCTGATTGGCTGACATACTATGTCTTAAAGGATACAGGAGTTCTTAATAGCTGAGAGCATCTGGAAACATCTATTACTGGCAGCCTTTTTTTTTGTGGTAGATGCACACTTAGTCTTTGATGAATCGAGGTATCTCAAGTACTTTTTAGAGCATGCTTTTTTTTTTCATGGACTAACAGGTTTTTATAAAAGAGGGAAGTCTACTTATTGCTCAACTAGTCAAAACTAAATTCGGTTTACAGGAAACTCAGAACATCAATCTCCTTTGAAGATTCTGGCTTTCAGTTGACAAAAACCTGTCTGCACACATATTCTAATTAGGAGAACTGGTTTTATTTCAGAGTTCAAATATAAAATTTGTCATCTTTGTTAAAAGGGAATTCAAAGTAGGGGCAATGCTGTGTGTGATACATGTCTATAGTGCGGTCAAAAAGTTATTGCCAAATATCTCCTCAACTATTGCACATAGACTATCCAGCTTTTGCACAATAATTTGTATCAGTTTGTTCTGTCAATGTTTGTGTAAACGACTGTTACCTGTATTCTGGAAAATTCCTTAATAGATACTAATAAAAAATTAAAGTAGGTGGTTTCTACAGATTTTTTAAGGTTTACAGCTGAGGGAATATCGCTTTTAGAAGCAAGTCCATCATTTTTTTCTAATTGCGACATTAGGCTTATTGAATACATGTTTTGAGAACCTTTAGCTAGTGCAAAAAAGTGTTCAGTACAAAATTAATTTCTTGTAACAAGTTTTGCCACTAAAAGTGTCATTGGTGAGCTGTGACGTAGGCCACATATGTATACAAAATATGTGTGAGAAGCGGGAAGTGCTGTGAACAATCATATTTTCCGCATGATGGAGATTTATATTTTAAATAAATTTATGAAGTAAAGTTTTTACATCTAGCCTCAATTTTTGTGGAAAAATATGATTACGTTGAGACAAATTGATACACACTGATGTGCAAAATACGGGTGACATTAATTTACCCGTTAAAGAGTTATTTGATTATAATAAGTTGTGCCCTGAATTTTTTACCGCACTATAGTATGCCTTCCAGGCTGAGCTTAGTTTCCTACCTGCAGACAGGTCAGGCTCGTGTCTTTGAAATTTGTCTATTGAAGGCTTACAGGAGTTGGTTTGACCATGTGGAGCTTTTTAAAAAATGGGATCTTAGAACGATTATCAGTCATTTTTGGGGATCTTAACTGGTGAAGGTTTATGTGGTCAAAATTTTGTTTTGCATCTTTAGCGGGATGCTGCTCACAAACTTTTGTACTGTTGGGGAATCGAAATTAGCATCTTATTGACAAGGACAGTCTGTAGCTCAATGGAGAGAAATATATCACTATAGTGTTTCAAGAATGCACTTGCTGTGATAAAGAGAAATTTGTCACAATAGAAACTCAGGTACATGATATTCAGAGAGGTGGAGAGAAAGTTTGCTCTCTAGTGTTTCATGAACATACTAGATCTAACTGTGATAAAGAGATCCATGAATACAGTCAGTGTGATAGATACAGGGTTGTCTTTCATTAATATCCTAATTGTGTCTGTGAGAAAGTTGTCAGTTCAGACTTAAAGATTCATGAAAATAATCTGTGTGACAAAGAAAATTGTCACCCAAAAGATTCATGAACATTCTTCTAAGCTTTTGATTAGAATTTGATGCCATAGACCCCTCTCATTTGTTGCCAATGTCAGAACATTCCAAAGCTGAACTTAAGTTGCGGAAAGTGATCATTTGGTTCGAACTTAGTTTTTGTCCAATGGGGTAGTTCTACTAAAGTAATCAAAGGGAATTTCAATTAAATTATGAAGATATAGAGTTTTGGAGCTGCTGAGTGCTAAAACAATTTTAAAAAGTGACACTGAGAATTATTATTTTGACAGTTGTTGAGTGGTAGAAAATGGGGGAAATTTAATATAATTAAATATACTGTTTATTTTTGAAAGTATGAACTTGCATCATCTCCTGATGCATTTCCATAAATGAATTGTGACATTTTTTATTCCATTTTAATGGCAAACATGGTTTTTGAGCACTGTTTACTTTTTTTTTTGTTTAAACAAGATTGGGGTTAATTTTTTTCCCTGCCAACTCTGTGGCAAATGAAGCCTCTTGGTTTTGGACCCTAGTCATGACGGAATTTTATTATTTTTTATGTACTTAACAATGAAAACTGCGTTTCTTTGTCTACTAATGCACTAAACAATGACTTAATTTTTTTTTTTTTTTTTTCAAAAATATTGATATTTATATAAATGTGTTATGACGTGGTGGAATCAGAGGCTTGTCAATTTTGGGGCATATGGAGTTGTTGTATAATTTTAAAGGTTGTTCATTTGTCTTGCTTTTGATGAAAAAATTATAAATCTATCTTGCATAGAAGTCGAAATATTTCCAATTGAAAGAGGTGGGGGTCACGTGGTTTAAGAGGGAAAAGTAGCGAAAAAATGGCTGCCAAAGCTTGTGATTTCCAAATTTTAAGAGCTGTAGCAAACTGCAAATTTACATTATTTTTGTCTTTGATCAACATTTTTTTTTTAAATCAACTAGAAAATTTGTTATTAAATGGACATAAAAAATGTTGAGCCTAAAAAAGAAGATTTTCTTTAAATTTGCCCGACGGTCTGAAAAATGTCCATTTCCTTGTATTCATTATTTTGACGAGCGCCTGATTTCACCACAACGAGTCACAAATACTATAATTATATGTTAGTGTGTTTGTATTGTGGAACAGTGTGACTCAGAGTTGTTGTGAAAGCAGTTTTGTCTTTTTCCTTTATTTGGTCTCAGACAAGTTGTATCCATATGCAGCTAAGCACAAGTGTCCATACAGTAATGTACTGTCTTTATTTGCTCCAATTTCTTCTTTTTATCCATGACCTTTATCTACTTAATGTGTATACTTAAGCTTATGGCAGTGGCTTTTTCTGATCTTCCTATTGTGAAAAATCCATTGTGTATGCCGGCTGCACTATTTACAGCCTTCCTTAAAGAAACAGTTATGTTATAATCTAGAATGAGAAATCAATATTAATTGAAAATTGTTCCCAGGTGGCGAGTAATTCATGATGTACACATTACTGAAGCACCCAGATAGCAGAAAAGATATTACTAGAATGGATGAAATCCATGTGTCTTCATTTTCTGAAAATGTGATGTTTGAATTTGGATGTTCTCATTCTTGTCTGACATTGCATGGATTTGTATGTGTCGGGACATAGAAGATGGGTGTCATCTGTTTTAAAAATTTATTGTGGTGGTACTTGAGATTTCTTTTTTTAATCATATCAGATATATGTATACACTGTTGATTGCAGTATTACTATTTGTCGATTGTATATGTATATTTTTTATATATCTTTTGGTGTCAAAAGCGGCCATTATGTGGGAGGAAGTGCTATGTTTCTACATATGTCTCATGACAAATGCACAAAGGCAAAAGAAGATTTTTACTTTTTCATATTAGATGAGATAGATGTGAGCTATGCCATGTCCCCTTTATACAGAATTTTTTCTGATTCCACTTTTTGATTTTACAATTATAATGTGAAAGCTCAAAGGTTACTCTTGTAAAGCGCTTTGCCAAATTTTGGTATAAATATCCATGTTGTGTAAAGATCACAACTCTTTAAATGTCATGGTGCATTATAAGGTCAATCAAGTCTTGCCTGCAAAAACATGTTAAGAGAGATATAATTATATTTGAAGGTGCACTATCGTTATATGTGATCTATATTTTCCAACTGTCTAACATATTGCAGATCCTTTCTTATCCTTGGAGCCCAAAATGGATGACTCGTGCCAATCTTGAGCTTGACCCAGTTTCACCTGAAATCACTTCCGTTTTGCGTCTTGCTCCGTGAAAATAAATATTGAGCTCAAATTCAGCCAATTTTTAAAAGATACACCCAATGCGCTGTGGATAACATTGTCCCTATTTTAATCACTCTCATCCCAAACAAAGTTTTTATCCATTTTCTGCCTGAATGCGTACCCCTTTTTTTTCTGCTTTGTCTCTGGGCTGTATGGATTAAGAAGATAGTAAGAACTCAGTTTTGCTAAATAGAATATAAATGTGTTAAACAAATGGACAAAATGAGTCACTTGTTAATTGATGTTTTTGTACAGATAGCAATTCACTTGGATAGTGCATCCCATGAATTTTCTGCATTGTGTTTTGTTTGAGTTATTTTTATTGACACTTTCTCAATTGTTGTCTCTTCGGTTTATCAGACAAAGGTCTCAACCCGTAACTTGTGCTATTTCCTGTCCTGAGCTAGACAAAAATTGCCTTGCTGAAGGGGAATGGGGGGGGGGGGTGTATCTATTCCTTCTGCCTTTTGTATATAAAGGTAAGGATATGGCCTGTCTACTTTCTGATTTCTGTGTTAAGAGTGCCAGTGGGTGGAAAAAATGAAGCTAAGAGAAGTCACTCATTTCTTTCAGTTTGCCAATGGACTGAAGGTGCCACTGGCATTTACTTCTCCATGTACTGTTACTGTTTTTCTGTCCGTCTGACTTTTTTACAATGTTAACTGATTCAGCCCACAGATAATTTTGACTCCGGACGCAAATAATTTGTGACCGCTTCATGACCATAAGGGTGGTCTCACAAAAAGTTAGTAAAGAATATCTCAATTTGATAAACACCCTACTTCTGGCATATAGAAATGTTCTGAATAAAAAATACTATTCAATGATATCAGGAAAAAGGGTTTAAATGTAAGTGGTAGGCCTAAGGGGAAAAAAAAGAAAGGAAAGTTATAAATAAACAAAAAACTCACCCAAAAAAAAATAATTTTAATTTGGGCCAACTCACCCATTTTTCTTTATTTTTGGAGATAAAAGCACTACATGGGGCAACAGGTGTGAGGTCCACCATTTCTATCTACTCCAAGGGTAAATCCATGGTTCAGAGGACAACACTTTTGACAATAGAGTACTTTTTTGTACAGGTACTTGGAATCCAAAATGAGAGGAAAAAATATGGCGAACTTTGACCATCTACTAATAACACAAAAGTTTCAATAAAAAAGCACTTCACTGAATGACACACAGCACAGACAGACTTGTTTATGCCATGTACTGAGAGGAGATTACCTCACTCAAGTGTATGGTATGCTTCAAAGCAGTGCTTTGGGTGTAGGAACGGCCTGTCCAATCACCCCCTTATAGTATAGAAGTATACCTTGCGTAAGTGCTTTCCTTTTATGCCCCTGCTGCAGTATACACATTTCTTGTCTTTCTCAGGCCAGCAGTGGGGGGGGGGGGGGGGTTACAGCGAATTATAGGCGACTTCCAGGTTGAGAACCATAGATACAGGGCACATGGAAGCGAAACCAATAAATTGGAAAAAAGAGGCTAAAACAGCTCCTGGACATGGATTGCTGGTGCCACTATAAAAAAATTATTGATGCTCGGTCGGTCTCAGACCAGCAAACGAGGTGAAGTTCTTTGGTGCATGACTTTTTCCTTCCATCATTGTGATAGAGGGTCAGTCGACTTTGGGCTTCTTGCTCCTCTTGTGTCGTCAGTTCTGCAGAAAGCTGAAGCAGCCCCTTGG